CTTGATGACCTTTTGTTTTCTTCTTGTATGATGTTCTTGATGTCATTCCACAACTCTTCTGGTCTTTGGTCTTTAGTGTCTAATGCAGCAAATTTGTTCTTGAGGTGATCTCTAAATTCAGGTGGGATATGTTCAAGGTCATATCCTTTGGCTCTCGTGGTCTTGTTTCAATTTTCTTTAGCTTCGTATAAACTTATACAATATGAGCAAGTGATGGTCAGTTCCACAGTCTGCCCCTGGCCTTATTTTGGCTGATGATATGGAGCTTTTCTGTCTCCTCCCAGATGTAGTCAATTTTATTTCTGTGTATTCAATCTGGTGAAGTCTACCAGATAGATTGTTGTTTAAAAAAGATATTGCAATGAGGAAGTCATTGGTCTTGCAAAATTCTATCATGCCATCTCTAGCATCATTTCTGTCAACAAGCTTGTTTCTTTTTCCCCAACTATTGATCTTTCCTGTTTGTTTACAATTTTTGTATCCCACTCACCAGTAATTATCAATACATTTTGATTGCATGTTTGATCAATTTCAGCCTGAAGAAGTTCTTCAATTTCATCATCACTGGCTTTAGTGGTTGGTGCACAAATTTGAATAATAGTGGCATTAACTGGTCTTCCTTGTAGGCGTATTGATATTATCCTATCACAGACACCATTATACTTCAAAGTAGATCCTGAAATGTTCATTGTGATGATGAACGTGATGTGATTCCTCTTCAGTTTATCATTCCTGGCATAGTTAACCATGTTTTGTCAGATCCAAAATGGCCAATAATAGTCCATTCAGCTTACTAATGCCCAGGATATTGATTTTTATGCATTCTATTTTAACAACTTCCAGTTTTCCTAGATTCATATTTTGTATGTCACATTTCAATTATTAGTGTATGTTTGCAGCTGTTTCTCCTCATTTTGAGTTTGCACCATCAGCAAATACAGGTCCCAAAGACTTACTCCATTCACATCATCACTATCCATTGTATTTTGAGGAGGCAGCTCTTCCCCAGTCGTATTTTGAGTGTCTTCTAACCTGAAGTGAGGAGCTCATCTTCCAGTGCCATTTCTGACAATATAGAAAGCATCAAAATGAGCTGGAAGGAATATACAGAGTCACTGTTCTAAAAAAGAAATGGTCAATGTTCAGCCATTTCAAGAGGTAGCATATAATCAAGAGCCAGTGACACTGAAAGAAGAAGTTCAATGTGCACTGAAGGCATTGGTAAAAAACAAGGTTCCAGAAATTGATGGAATGCAAATTGAAATCTTTTAACAAACTGAGACAGCACTGGAGGCACTTACTCATCTGTGCTAAAATATTTAGAAGACAGATACCTGGCCAACTGATTGTAAAAGATCCATATTTGTGCCAATTCCAAAGAGAGGTGACCCAACAGAATGTGGAAATTATTGGACAATACCATTAATATCACATACAAGAAATTTTGTTAAAGATAATTCAAAAATGGCTGTGACAGCACATTGACAGGGAACTGCCAGAAGTTCATGCAAGATTCAGACAAGGACATGAAAGGGGGGATATAATTGCTGATGAGATGGATCTTGACTGAAATCAGAGAATACCAGAAAGATGTTTACCTGTGTTTTATTGACTACGCAAAGGTGTTCAACTGTGTGGATCATGACAAACTATTGACAACATTGTGGAGAATGAGTATTCCAGAACACTTAGTTGTGCTCATGAGGAGCCTGTACATAGACCAAGAGGCAGTAGTTCCAACATAACAAGGGGACACTTAATGGTCTTAAATCAGTAAAGATGTATGCTAGGGTTGTAGTCTTTCATCATAATTATTCTGTATGCTGAGCAAATAATCCAAGAAGCTGGAATATATAAAGAGGAACATGGCATTAGGATTGGAGGAAGACTCATTAACAACCTGCAATATTCAGATGATACAACCTTGCTTGCTGAAAGCAAAGAAGATTTAATTTTTTTACAAATGAAGATCAAAGATCACAGCCTTCAATATGGTTTGCACCTCAATGTAAAGAAAACAAAAATCCTTACCACTGGACCAGTAAATAACATGATAATAAATGGAGAAAAGATTGAAGTTTTCAAAGACTATATTTTGCTTGGATCCACCTTCAACACTTATGGAAGAAGCTGTTAAAAAATCAAATGCTCCGACATCCACTTTGTTAGACATGATGTCTTCTCCAGGGTATGGTCCTTCATAACAGTATGTCTGAAGTATGACAGACAGAGTCGGGCCATCCTGGCTTCTGGGGAGTATTTGGGCTGTACATCTTCCGAAACAGATATCTTTGTTCTTTTGTTAGTCCATGATAACTTTCGATGTTTTCCCCTAACACCATAATTCAAATGCATTGATTCTTCTGCAGCCTTTCTTGTTCACTGTGCAACTTATACATGCATGGGAGGTTGCTGAAAATACCACGGATTGGGTCAGGTGCATCTTGGTCCACATACTTACAGCTTTGATCTCGGGCACTTTGAGGAGGTCTTGTGCATCCTATTTGCCTAATGCATTGTTTGATTTCTTGACTGCTGCTTCCATGAGTTGTGATGTTT